GAAATTTGGCACATTTGTTTGGGGTAGTGTCCTAAATGACACACTAAAAGTCCCCGTATGTGGAGGGGGGGGGGCCCCGGCATCCGCGGGCCGTTATAGGGGGCGTTTTCAGTTTTTCTTAAATATCCCGAAAACTATGGGTTCTATAAAAAAACACTCCATTAAAAAATTAACCTACATGCAATTTCCTACAAAAGAAGTCTTACTTTGTTTCTGTAGCATCAATATTTTATAAGATACAGGAGGATTTAAAAGTCCATACTTCTAAAATTGCTTATTGTAATGGTGAAATCGATTAAAAGTGCTGAATCAACAACCCTCATAATAACCTCATCCCTATATAATAATTATACAAGGGTAGTATTGCATGCGTCGGAGAAGGGGGGGGGTAACAAACCCATTTGATGACCAATCATGATCCCTTCCTCCACTCGCATCCGTTCCCCTTCACAAATTTCCTTCTACTCGTAGTCCAGTCAACGAATTTTAAATTTAAAAAAAAGTTGTAGTTTTGAAATTCGGAATTCGGCACAGTTGTTGGGGAGAGTGCCCTAAACGACATACTAAAAGTCCCCGCTGATGGAGGGTGCTCAGGGGGTACAGGGGAGATTGAAAGGGGGGGGGATTTCTCAGTTTTTCTTAAATATCTCGAAAATTGTGCATCCTAGCTAAAAAATTGATTATAAAATTAAACTAAATTAAATTTCCTGTAAATATAGTCCAATACATTGTTTTTAGGATGAATAGTTTAGAATATTATAGCAGTTTGAAAAAGTACATAATTACAATAAGTGGTTGAAAATGTTAGTTTTATTTTTATGAAGGAAAGTTTATATTTCAAAATAGCGGCTATCTATTACATTATATCTATAACATATTATATCTTTCTATATCATAATACTATATAGATACATACATAAAAATACGCATAACCCATTTTTACACTTGCTCGTAATTAAATTTCACCATGTTTTTCTAGTATATGATCAAGTTCGAGCGCATCCTCTTCTTCTAGAGATACGTCTTTGGTACAGGTACCATTAAAGGTGCCAAAACAGAAACAGATTGCTAAACGTGTGTTGCTCCGCCTCTCCTTTGATTGTAGGAATTGAGGAAAGATCAGCTCTGATCTTGGTTGATGATTTGAGAAATGCTGTATATCTACGGTTATTCAAATTATGTTCATCAGCAACGGCTTTGTACTAGGAACATCTTCTCATCGGCTGGTGAGATATCATCTGGTGTTCATGAGGGGTTATAAAAGATGTCAGCAATGTTTTTACCTGGTTTAGTTGATTTTTGAACAATGTAACTATAGTGCTTTGCTTTTTCTATAAATATCTGGTGTTATGTCGCAGCCACGGAATGCATGGAGAAGGAGGATTGTTTGGGAAAAAGAAAGTTCTTTCTGCAGCTTTCTTGTAAAAATAATTTAGCTTCTACTTTTCCCTTGCCAGGCTTCATGAAATAAATGTTACTTTCTGGTGGTGCCAAAGCAATCAGTAACACGACTAGGTCTACGTTTTTCTCTTGGGATGAGAAGTTCCCTTCTCTAACCCAGATCTCACAATATAAGTATCAGCATCCCCTGTAGCGACTCTCGTTTCAGTTCTTTTAGCAGCCATTTTCTGTGTTAAGACTTGCATAGTCTTATTTCTTCAATGGCAAGAAAAAGTTTCTGTCGAACTGTGACAGACTGGTTGCGAGCTTTTAAGTTAAACTAAGCATAAATATGTAGATTTAGATTATACTGTCTAAATACACTCGTTTGGAGCGGTAACAGAACCAAAAGACTGACTAAAGGGATCTAGTGGAGGGGAACACGACTGTTTGTGAAATAGATTTGTCGCCCACCTTCCTGATACCGCCACTACTCTCGACACATACAATACTACTCTTGTATAATTATTCTATAGGCATGAGGTCTTTCTGAGGGTTGTTGCTTCAGCACTTTTAATTGATTTTACCATTACAATAAGGAATTTTTGAAATATTCACTTTTAACCCCCCCCGTATCTTCTAAAATTTCATTCTACAAAACATTTAGGACTAGTTTTGTAGGAAATTTAATGTAGTTTAACTTAATAATCATTTTTTTAGCTAGGATGCACAGTTTTCGAGATATTTAAGAAAAACTGAGAAATCCCCCCTTTCAACCCTCCCTGTACTCCCTGAGCACCCTCCACCAGCGGGAACCTTTAGTATGTCGTTTAGGGCACTCTACCCAACAACTGTGCCGAATTCCGAATTTCAAAACTACAAATTTTTTTTAAATTTACAAATCATTGACTGGAATACGAGTAGAAGGAAACTTGTGAAGGGGAACGGATGTGAGGGGAGGAAGGGAGCATAATTAATAATATAATAGCCCAGATCTCTTGGTAAGGCTCTGACGTCACCAACAATAAAATGCGCGCCATAGCACTGCAAGACGTTAAACAGCATTATTTCATTGTTAGAGAACCTAAATTTCAGTAATTTTAAATTTAAAAAAGTAATTTCTAATTTAATTTCGTTCTAATTTCAAATTTAATAGCTCTAAAATAGTGAAATAAAATTTGCTATCCATTGATATAAAATTTATCTCGCTATGATCAACAGTTCCCGAGAAATTTTAAATTATATTAATCACATATTTCAAATTAATTTCCGTTTTTCAATAGAAAGTAGTAAATTACGTCAGTGGTATATCATGCGCGTGAAATAGTTTGGACGCCACGATGCATCTAATTATTTAGTGCAATCTTGATGATATAATTTGATAATATTTTTTGGCAACGTTAAAATGTACACCAAGACATCTGAATTACAAAGAAAATTGTTAAACAACGAAAAATACTTCATACTGAATGTTGTTTACCAAGAGGTTTTTTGAATAAATAAATATGTAAATAAAAAAATGTTTCCTGTCATAATACATATGTTTCTTTTATTTGTTTCCAATCAATGTTAAGCATTTCTCTGCCATATATATCTATTTAAACACGTCAGATTTGACAGGAAATCTCTCGAATGAAGAGGCAATTTGCACCCGTCATACCATGACGGGTTATTTTCTAGTTGTTCATAAAATGGGTTTGTTACCCCCTCTCCGACACATGCTATACTACCCTTGTATAATTATTATATAGGCATGAGGTTATTATGAGGGTTGTTGATTCAGCACTTTTAACCGTTTTTACCATTACAATAAGGAATTTTAGAAATATTAAATTTTAAATCACCCTCTATCTTCTAAACTGTTCATTCTACAAAAACAAAGTAGGAATTATTTTGTAGGAAATTGCATGCAGTTTAATTTTGTAATTGAGTGTTTTTTGATAGATCTCATAGTTTTTGAGATATTTAAGAAAAACTGAAAACGCCCCCGTTTAAACAACCTTATACCCCCTGCGCAGCCCCCCCCCACAGGCGGGGACTTTTAGTTTGTCTTTCAGGACACTACCCCGAAGAACTGTGTAAAATTTGAAAAGTACACCATTTTTGTTTTTTATTTTTCCTTCGTTGACTGGACTAAAAACGACTCCATCAGTAATTCAAATAATAAAATTTAAGGAAAAAATAATGCTAGAGCTATTTAATAAATTGGCAAATTTTTAAATGTATTATGTTACTTTATGTCTTATAATAGATAACAATGCATTCAGTATGAAATATATATATTCTGCGATAGTTAAATGAATCGAGAATTTTTTTTCTTAGTCTTATTGCGTATCATTCACTGTAAGGGTCAAATGTTAAAATTGGAACCCAATACATTTATATGTAAATCACTAAAGTAATTAAATAGGACGACACATTTTTAGCAATATGAACTCGAAGATCAGACTAAATTATGATTTCATATTTAATAATTTATAGCACGTCAAAGAAACGATGTTTGTGATTCTATTTCAGAAAATATAAAAGTTTTAGAATTGAAAATGGCGCTTATTGTACCGGTTATACTAAAAGTGTAGTATAAAATCAAGTAGAAATTTATACATTAAACGTGGTATATTTAAAGACATTATTATAAATTTAATGGGTTCAAAATCAACTTTTAGTGCAAAATTCATGACATTCGATTAATCGTTTGTATCTGTAATAATCTTTTAGCTTCCATCAGTCGCCTGCTTACTTGAATGTCGAAGACGGAGAAATCCGTTGCTTTTATCGGGAAATCTACAGCAGGTTTCTGGAGTTCATATAAGGAAATCTCCTTTTTCGTATATTGAAGTCTCGAGGCCTTTCTTTTATGAAGGAATGTTTTAATAAAATCCCAGAATATCGCCAAGCTGATGGTTAGGTAGTATAAAACATTTTGTATCCATTAAACAACTTATTCTCAAAAAAATAATTATCTTAAGAATTACGTCATGAAAATGTTACATTTTTTGGAACGTATTATATATATATATATATATATATATCAACTGAAATAGGTATGCAGATTTAATTTTGAAAGCATGTCAAAATCATGAATTTCGTATAAGTTGAAGAAATCTTAAGAAATGCATACTGAGTTCTAAACAATTTGTTTTCATCTCATAAGATAATTCTTACTTCAGAAACATATATTCTTTTGCCACATGTGGTTACTTAAAGCTTTTTTATGCTTAATAATTTTTTCTAGCTTAGTCATCAGTTTCGGACTTCGGTCATGAAATTTTTAAGTTTTTTTTAAAGCGAAAGAAAATAACCTATAGGTATAAAATGAAATTCAATGTATCCAATCTTATATTCCCACCGTTTCTACACAACGGATTTGTGCAAGAAGATAAATAATATATAACAAACAGAAACTTTAATACATAGTTTAATAGAGTTTTAGTTACATTTACGTCCCATTTTGAAGCAACACAAGGGCTATTTCGGGATGGAAAGGAATCGCAGACAGATGAAGAGGACGACACCTGAGCTGGCATCCCTTCCCCAAACATCCGCACCACGCCAACAGGAGAATGTTTGACCCCCCTACTTAAGATTTAGGATGAAGCAGGCGCAATACACGGTAAACCTTCCGTGAAATCAGGTTTCGAACCTGGAACCTTCGAGAAAGTCGAAACCTTACCACTAAGCCACCACGGACCTATTTTCTCATAAGACCAGGTAAACTTATGAGAGAATTTTAGGTTGTTTTAATGAAGGAAATGGTTTTCTTTAAAAGGAAAATTAAGTAAAAAGTGGTTTTTCGTCACGAATTCTCTAAATTGAAGAATTGCATTTTTTTCAGGGAGGTCACTCATAATTCCTTCTGCAATTAACATTCGAAATCATTCCTAGCTTCCGAGAAAGCAGTTTCGTCGACAGAAACTCATAAGTAGAAGGAAGTCAGAGGAAGAACTATAAAAGCACGAAATAATGTGCCTTTCACTAACCGCATTTTAATTTTGAACCTTCAAACTTTAATATACTATGACAAAATCGTCTTGTGGGTGTACGTGAGTACAGTCCAATAAGCAGGATTTTAAAAAATCAAGCTCTTTATTTTACAAATATTCTAGGAAAAGAAACATAGCACAAGTATTAAAACAGCACTTGTAAAATTTCACAACAGAGATTACCAATAAATCTCAACACAGCGCTCAAAGGTAAGCTCACCAGCTTGCTTGCTGATGAAAATCCAACTAACTCTTGGCTTGAGAGCTTGCTTTTATACTTTTTCAACAAGAAGTGACTTTATTACGTAGGAAGTGACGTAATCTCCAGAAAGTTCGTGTAGCCAGTAGAAATAGGTTAACAGTTTAAGGTCTTTCTAGAAAATTCCTTTTGTTGCCAAAGTCACCAGCTTTGTCGCCAAGTTTGTCGCGAAGATCAGCATCTGAGGGAAGCAACTTTATAGCTTTGTAACAATACGATGCAACGAATTTAAAACTCTACTTTTGATGAGGGAGAAAATAGTAAAATGCATAATATTTTGTGAAGTGTTAAAAACTTCAATATCCAAACCTGGGTTAGGGTATGAGGGTATTAAGAATGTTTTATTGTTTTCTGATCTGCATAATTTAGTTAAAATTATCATTTGCTTAAGAAATGAAATTGATTTGGTTCACTCTAGGTACTTAACTAAGTCAATCAAAACACTTGAATTGATTATTTATTCATTTATTAGTGGAAGAAATGTGATGTTACATTCTCATTTCAATTTAAAATGACCAATACCGCCAAGAGGTCTTTATTTCTTTCACTCCATGGAACACATCGATGTCATTTTATTTAACAATTTAGCAAGCCATGTCTGACCTTTTCGAGAAGATAATCCTGTAAAAATTTGAATTTCAATTGAAATAATGTTAATTCAAATGGTTGTAAATATCTTTACAATCCCTTCTCGAACTTCCAATTGTTGAAATGTTAATACTTGGTGTCATAAATATTAAAGAATTCTATGAAGAAGATATTTACCGATAATTTTAATTGCTCAGCTATTAATCTAACTAATTCTATCTAATGACCGCAGTTAAACTGATACGAAGCTTGCCTGTAATCGACGCTTAATTTCCAAATCGTATCCTGTATTTATACCAATTGCTACTATCTGCTATTGTGTCCGTTGTGAAGGAAGAAACTCCATTTAGAATCAAAACAAAAAACAATAAGCTGAAGCCTTGATAACCTTCATTTGTCAACTAGTTTTCACAAGAAATTTACAAACTCACCAAGTTAATCGTCAGATTCTCATAGGTTTTCATTTCTTTATTAAATACACGAGGTTAGCTAAAGCAACTTTCTAACAGAGTTGAATTAAAGTTTCCCTTCGTAATCGGTTGTAACTCAAAAATAACACAGGTCTGCAAAAAAAAGAAAATTGTTTTCAGCTGCATGGGATATTTTTGGTAAATTTTATGTTTTTTAGGGTGCTGAATCCAAACATGACCTCCATTTCCCTCCATCACGTACAGTGTTTTTGCAAAACATGGGGAGTTTACATTAAAAAAGCACAACTGCGATGAAAAAAAATCAATATTTTATTACAATTAACTATGCATGATCTTTCTTATAATTGGAAAAAAGTAACAAAAAACTATTCCTTCATGATATATTTAATACTACCATCCAACGATGTTCTTGATAGTTGATTTCCTCAAGAATCATAGACAAATCATTATAGTTTTCTTCCAAATGCACAGAGTGTCCTAAAGGAAGCGATGTAAATGAATTACTGCTTTAAGGCTTGTTTTAGACGAATCTATGAATAGACGCCACTCAGATGGATCATATTCTACGTCAAAGCACTTCTTTAGGCCTTGAACATCATTACAAAAACGAGTTTCCCCCTTTGGAGAAAAACAGAGTAAATTCTTTCTCTCGGTGCCTGTACCAGGAGAATGAAGATCCAGGTGTCAAGAGATTTTTATTTTTCAGTCTTGACACTAGCAATTCAGATCCCTCTTTAGAAAGGCCTAAACCTCTAACTAGATCATTAAGCTCTCTCTGAGAAAATGGTTGGGGTCTCTCATCGACAGATAAATCTGAGCTAGAGTCGTCCTGGTGAGGTAATGTGTCTCCATCCTCAGAATCACTCCGGATATCATCCAAACTTGAAGGCGGGTGCCACTCTTAGAAATATAAAATTAATATATAAAATCATTATTGGATATGGTCTTTTGAATCAAGAATATGATACCAGATTTTAGGTTAGAAAAGAGAAATTTTACGCTTAATTAAACTAAAAACATGAGTTTTGTAAGAAAACCTGACGTGATGGAATTTTTTAAATATTTTTCCCGGTTTCAGTGAGTAAAAATCTATAAGAAACAGTTAAAAAATCCTATGCAGTTTTTTGGTTGCAGACCTGTGTAATCAATATAAAAAATCTTATAACTTCTTAAAATTAAATTGTTATTAATCAGAAAATATTCGGGCATTAAAAATTTTCGTTGTCCATCTAATGTCGTTTGGTGTAAGAGGAATATTAATGTTTTATTACTAGAAACACCTGCAATTTTCAAAGTTATGATATTAAGCATTTAAATTAAACCTTCCAAAATAATGGGTTTCGTATCAGCGTTTCAATTGAATTTCAGTTGAAAAATCATAAGTCACTTTAAAAATCACAGAATATAAGTAGCTATTGCTTCAGACTGATAACATCTTCATGAAGTTTGATTAGTGAGATTCCACAATTTAATTCAGTGCTTTATCTAGTTTTATTCTTCTATCCTTTTCCAACCGGCGTCAGGCATAACATTTTAAGATACTTTAAAAGAAACAGAAAAATGGAATAAAATTTAATATTTTCAGTCTTATATGATATTCTGAATTTTTTCTAACTTTTTGCACATGCAGATAAACAATCAAACAGAAACGGACGTTTTCTCATAAGACCAGGTAAGTTTTTGAGAAAAGTCTGGACTGTTTTAATGAAGAAAAGCTTTTACTTTAAACTCGGAAACTCAGCAGAAAAAAATAATTTTTCATCATGAATTCTCTAAATTGAAGAATTGCTCTTCTTTCTGAGGGAGTTCACTTATAATTCTTTCTGCAATTAGCATTCGAAATCATTCCTAGCTACCGAGAAAGCAGTTTCGTCGACAGAAACTCATAAGTAGAAGGAAGTCAGAGGAAGAAATGTAATAGCAGCAAATAAAGTGCCTTTCACTAACCGCATTTTAATTTTGGACTTTCAAACTTTAATATACGAGGCAACGAATTTAAAACTGTACTTTCGGTGACGGGGGGAAAAAGGTAAAATGCGTAAGATTTTGTGAAGCGGCCAAAAATTTCAATATCCAAACCTGGCTTAGGGCATGAGGGTATTAAAAAGGTCTTTCTTGTTTTCCTAGTTGCATAATTTAGTTGAAATTAGCATTTGTGAAAGAGGGAAGTTTGAATTGCAACGCTGTTTGCACTTACTTCAGTAAGTCAGACAAAACACTCTGACTGATTATTTAATGATATATTTGCTGAAGATATATTTCACTGATTGTCATTTGAATTTAAAATGACCAACTACACAACGGGGTATTTAGATTTTACTTGGTATGGTAGGATTCATTCCTTCTTGTTCAATGAATTTCGGAAGAATGGCGAGAAATTTGAAGGAGTTATTCATGCGAAGATTTAATTTAAAAAAAAAAAAGAGGGTAATTTTAATGGCATTGTGATAGCTTTAAAATGTCCTCGAAAATTCAGGTTTTAAGACGTTATATTACTTTAAGCCATTAATATAAATTAAAATTCTAGTTTTAAAGAACTTTTTGATCTGGCACCTGATAATCCATTATGTTTATTGCTAACCCCAATATTTCAATTTAAAATATGATAATTGTGTAAGAGTTTCACAAAGAAAAGTTTAGTAGAGATTTTAAAGAATCTTTCTTTGAAAATTCGTCTGGGTTCCGTTGCATCAGTGCATGATGTGTATTGTCTTGAAGATGAATGTATCTAAGTTTGTTTGTTTTAGATGAATTAAAAAGTTTATATATGATTTCATCTACACTATTGCTGTAATTTGTAGAGTTTCCCGGAAAGGCAAACCTTTGCTTATTCACAATCAATGCATTTTAATCAAGGCAGCTATATATGTCTTCTTTTTTGAAAATTTTTCTCTATGATTATACCCGATAAGCCTTCAGAATTTCTACCTATAAGTTCGCTTTTCATTTATTTTGGATTACTTTATACACTACAAAATTATCAGAAATAAATTTCTATTCGTATAATTATGTCGACAGATGTCAAGTTTACCATTGGGGTTCAGGCCTGACATATCCGAAGAATATGAACTAGGGGGGGGGGAGTTATGGTTTCTATCCTGTGACTGCGCTCATCACCAGCATTATTCAAAAGCAGGTGCACCATGAGGGTTTTTGCAAAGAATTACTTGATGCTGGTTTAGGATCTGTGCTGTCCTCAAGACCTATTATCTCTACGCAGCAGATGATAAGAAGTGTATGCCACTCTGTCAATACAGCTTTACTTCCCTCGAATGGTTAATTTATGACTTCTCTAATCACCCTGTAGATCCCATTGTGTTTTATCATTTAGAAATTACTAATCTAGCCTCTCATTGTATTGTTTCATATGCACTGACTATGTTTAAAGCTAATTTTGGAAGATCAAAATAGGTTATTCCACGGGTGGTC